TCCTCCATCACACCAACCTGTCCGACGTCACGATGTTTTGCTTTGGAGTTGACTTTGGAATCGATGTTTCGGCCAGTTGCTCCCATCATCTCGCAGATGCTTCAATGCATTGTGGAGCACACTCTTCTCCAACGCCTGGAACAGTCCAGATTCCCTGTAGCGATCGAGCATTTAGGTGTTTTGTTGTTTCTCAATCTCTCTATCTCGGGATTTGTTTAGAACTATTAGTTTTTCTTTCTCTGTTTATCTCTCTCTCTCTCTCTTTGTCTCTCTCCTTCTATCTATCACGCTCTCTCTGTCTGTCTTCATACGCATATGCGTAAGCATTGTCTTTTCCATTGAAAGAACGCAGGACCTCGCCAAGTGCCGTGCCATCTGTGCATCGCGAGGCTTCGGCGGCTTCGTCGTCTACCGAGGCGCGGGTGCCCCATGGGGAGGAGCAGGTTGCAGAAACCGTTCAATTCTTCGGGGATGCAATGTCCGCCATATGTCCCGACGCTACATGTGAGCAGCCGGGCTTCTCCTACGTATAGCATTGGGAACAGAAGCGTGCTCGTTGGCGTTGCTCGTGGGGCGAGTAGAAGGCGCGGGTCCTGGCGACTGCACGTGAACCTGGCTTCAGCACAGTAGCTGATGACGTTGGGCTCCACGTTTCTTCCTGACGGCCTTACGATGGGTTGTGCCCCACCTCCGTCTTCCTCCTTGCCTCCAGGCGCACTCCCTCCTGGCCTCCTGACGCACTCCTGCCTACCTGCCTCCTGTCCCACCGTTTCGCGGGGGACAGCCAGGCAGGCCTTCCTTCAGCTCCCGGGCCATCGCGGAAGTCTTTCCGGGGCCGTTCTGGGGCCCCGCTGAGCCGTTTTGGGGCCCCGTCGTCCTGATCCCCTTCGGGGGTCCTCTGAGGGCGTCTGGGGCCCCCCGCGGACCGCACCTGGGGCAGTCGCCAGATCGAGTGTGCTTGCGCGTGAACAGTTTCACGCTGCTGCGTTTCTGAATGGTGACGGAAGAATTGCAGCTGCAGATTGTCTCGCCTTTGAAGGCCACGTATCCTGAATGTGAATCACACGTCACACTGGCATCGAGCGCGGAGAGGTCCTTGGAAATTTGGCTGCGGGTGGACTTTGGTTCTGCCTTAGTACCTTATTCACGATGTTCCGTCTTCAGCCTGCCCTGAAGCTGCTCTTCCCTAGCGCTGTCTTGGTGTGAGCTTCTGAACACATACACTTCTGAACACGTACACACATGTACGAATGGCCTTCGGCCTATTCCGTCACCGTGCCTGGGTTGTGGGTCTGAGGCCTCTTGGATATTCGTCGGGATCTCGTCGAGACCTCTCGGGGTCTCTTGGTGGCATCTTCGAGGCTTTTATGGGGGCCTCTTTTGGGGCCTTCTTGGGGCCTCGTGAGGGCCTCTCGGGGGCCTCTTGGGGCCTCTCGGGAGCCTCTCGGGGCCTCTTGGGCGCCTCTTGGGGCGGAAGGCTCGCACTTTCGATTCGTGCTCCCCCACTTTGGTCCGTCTCGTTGGGCGTCTTGGGGCCCCCTTGGGCCGTCTTGGGCGCCTCTTGGGCCGTCTTCGGGCTCTCTTGAAGGCGGGACCGTCTCGGGGCGTTCTTTGGGGCCTCTTGGGACGTCTTGGAGTGTCGGAATCTTTAGAAAAGTGGAGACCCGACAAAACTTCGAAACACCTACATGACAATTCATGATGTAAGCCTCTCAGGGCCCTCTTGGGAAGGCTCCTGGAGGCCTCGTGGGAAGTCTTGAGCTCTTTTTCGGTCGACTCCATGCCATCTGGGGCCTCTTGGACCGATCGTTCTGCGATTCGGGGCCCTCTTGGGCCATCTTGGGGGCCTCTTGGGGCACTCACTCTTGGCCCGTCTTGGGGCCCTTGTGGGCCCGAACAAGTCATGCGACAAGCCCTGGGAGCCACGCGACAAGCCCTGAGAGATGCAAGAATTTTGGGTCTGGGCCCCTACAAGATTCAGCAGGAATGAGGACTGAGGCTCCAGGGCTTTGAGCAGTGGACCTGAGGACACTCCTACTCGTGCCTCAAGGGCACGGTGGCGGATATGTATGTAGTGTTGTCACTGGTGCGTCCTGTACCTCTCCGCAGATGAGTGTTGTTTCGAAGTATTCGCTCGGCTGCTCGTATCACTGCATCTGCCCTTAACGCTCATGCTAAGGGATTCCGAGCGAAGGCTTCGTGCCTTGCCACGGCGCGCGCGCGTGTAGGGTGCACTAATTGCACCAACTTGTTGCGTGCCTTGTTGTTGTCGTGCCTTGCTACATTCTCGCTGTGGATTTCCCAGCGATTTACTTTGGAATCGCGCTATCGCTCGAGACTTCCTCGCGATTCATGCAGAACGCACGCTTCAGCAACCCGCCTACTCGAGCCGGCGGCCGCCTGGGCCCGCCTTCCGATCCGCCTGTCAGGTTCTACCCGCCTGATCTGCCCGTCTTGTTCTGCCACTTGTTTTCTGCTTCTAGCCCTCCTCTTACTACGCTCTCTCGTGTTCCATCCTCCCCTTACCCCTTGTCCCTTTCTTCCATCCGTCCTCTCTTCCTCTGCGTTAGGGGCTGCACGAAATACACGTCCCAGGTAAGAAAGATATGATGCACCCCCAAGGGGGTATGATACAGGATCCCCTACAGGCGCTTTGTCGCTCTCGGGTCCGGCTGCAGATCCTTTGAAATTGCGGCTCACTCTCAAGCGTCTCGGGTTATCGCCCAAACTGGCCCCCCAAATCGGCTCCCGTGCGATGTTCCCTCACAATTTACTCCGAGAGGCCCTGCCCAGAGAGGGCCCAAACCTCAGGAAGGGCGCTCTCGCTTGAGACTTCCTCCGAATTCAGCACCACAAGAGGTTTCGTCAGAGCAGTCTTGCCGCTACTTGCGGATGCCAGAACGGGCGTTTTTGCTCGAGACTTCCTTGCAGTTGAGCACCACAGGGGGGTCCTTCAGAGCAGTCTTGCCGCTGCCTGCCGATACAGGAACTGTCGTTTTGCTCGAGACTTCCTTTGCAATTTGGCTCCACAGTGGGGTTCCTCAGCACCAGGTGGCTGCTACTCGCGGGTGGCAGACCGGTTTTTCCCCACATGTTTCGTGGGGTTCTGGTTCCCCGCATGGTTAGTGGGGTCCTGGTTTTCTTCTCTGCCTCGTCGCACCCGCGTCTCCCGCACCTCCCTCCTCCCCTTCTCACACAGCGCAGCACAGCACAGCACAGCACAGCACAGCACAGCACAGCACAGCACAGCACAGCACAGCACAGCACAGCACAGCACAGCACAGCACAGCACAGCACAGCACAGCACAGCACAGCACAGCACAGCACAGCACACAGCACAGCACAGCACAGCACAGCACAGCACAGCACAGCACAGCACAGCACAGCACAGCACACAGCACAGCACAGCACAGCACAGCACAGCACAGCTCAGCACAGCTCAGCACAGCTCAGCACAGCTTAGCACAGCTCAGCTCAGCACAGCACAGCTCAGCACAGTCCCTGAGCGCGGCCGCTATCTGTGACGGTCGTCCATGGCACAGCAGGCGTGGCGTTTTCTCGACACCACAGGGGGTGCGCACGGGGTGGTCCCTGAGCGCGGCCGCTATCCGTGACGGTCGTCCAGGGAACAGCAGGCGTGGCGTTTTCTCGACACCACAGGGGTGTGGTCCCTGAGCACGGGTGGTTTTCTCGACACCACAGGGGGTGCGCACGCCCTGAGCGCGGCCGCTATCCGTGACGGTCGTCCAGGGCACAGCAGGCGTGGCGTTTTCTCGACACCACAGGGGGTGCGCACGGGGTGGTCCCTGAGCGCGGCCGCTATCCGTGACGGTCGTCCAGGGCACAGCAGGCGTGGCGTTTTCTCGACACCACAGGGGTGCGCACGGGGTGGTCCCTGAGCGCGGCCGCTATCCGACGGTCGTCCAGGGTCGTCCAGGGCACAGCAGGCGTGGCGTTTTCTCGACACCACAGGGGGTGCGCACGGGGTGGTCCTTGAGCGCGGCCGCTATCCGGGCAGGCACACCACCGCACAACTATCCGTGACGGTCGTCAGGGCACAGCAGGCGTGGCGTTTTCTCGACACCACAGGGGGTGCGCACGGGGTGGTCCTTGAGCGCGGCCGCTATCCGTGACGGTCGTCCAGGGCACAGCAGGCGTGGCGTTTTCTCGACACCACAGGGGGTGCGCACGGGGTGGTCACTGAGCGCGGCCGCTATCCGTGACGGCCGTCCTGGGCACAGCAAACGTGGCGTTTTCTCGACACCACAGGGGGTGCGCACGGGGTGGTCTCCGAGCGCGGCCGCTATCCGTGACGGTCGTCCAGGGCACAGCAAGCGTTGCGTTTTCTCGGCGCTACAGGGGGTGCGCACTCGACACCACAGGGGGTGCGCACGGGGTGGTCCTTGAGCGCGGCCGCTATCCGTGACGGTCGTCCATGGCATAGCAGGCGTGGCGTTTTCTCGACACCACAGGGGGTGCGCACGGGGTGGTCCCTGAGCGCGGCCGCTATCCGTGACGGTCGGCCAGGGCACAGCAGGCGTGGCGTTTTCTGCGCACGGGGTGGTCAGCGCACCGTGACACAGCAGGCGTGGCGTTTTCTCGACACCACAGGGGTGCGCACGGGGTGGTCCCTGAGCGCGGCCGCTATCCGTGACGGTCGTCCGGGCACAGCAGGCGTGGCGTTTTCTCGACACCACAGGGGGTGCGCACGGGGTGGTCCCTGAGCGCGGCCGCTATCCGTGACGGTCGTCAGGGCACAGCAGGCGTGCCGTTTTCTCGACACCACAGGGGGTGCGCACGGGGAGCGCGGCCGCTATCCATGACTGTCGTCCTGGCGTTTTCTCGACACTACAGGGGTGCGCACGGGGTGGTCCCTGAGCGCGGCCGCTATCCGTGACGGTCGTCCGTGGCACAGCAGGCGTGGCGTTTTCTCGACACCACAGGGGGTGCGCACGGGGTGGTCCCTGAGCGCGGCCGCTATCCGTGACGGTCGTCCAGGGCACAGCAGCGTGCGTTTTCTCGACACCACAGGGGGTGCGCACGGGGTGGTCCCTGAGCGCGGCCGCTATCCGTGACGGTCGTCCTTGCGGTATCGGCGGGGCAACGGCCACCAACATCGTTGTCACATGCTTTACTTCAGCTATCATCACCCCAGCCATAATATAAGTATGTGGGGTTCCTCGGTAGCGTAATTTTCTTCCCTGCCGCGTCGCACATGAGACTCGCGTAGCACACTTCACAACACAGCGCAGCGCAGCGTTTTCTCGACACCACAGGGGGTGCGCACGGGGTGGTCCTTGAGCGCGGCCGCTATCCGTGACGGTCGTCCAGGGCACAGCAGGCGTGGCGTTTTCTCGACACCACAGGGGGTGCGCACGGGGTGGTATCCGTGACGGTCGTTCAGGGCACAGCAGGCGTGCCGTTTTCTCGACACCACAGGGGGTGCGCACGGGGTGGTTCCTGAGCGCGGCCGCTATCCGTGACGGTCGTCCATGGCACAGCAGGCGTGGCGTTTTCTGGACACCACAGGGGGTGCGCACGGGGTGGTCCGTGAACGCGGCCCCTATCTGCGACGGTCGTCCAGGGCACAGCAGGCGTGGCGTCTTCTGGACACCACAGGGGGTGCGCACGGGGTGGTCCCTGAACGCGGCCGCTATCCATGACGGTCGTCCAGGGGACAGCAGGCGTGGCGTTTTCTCGACACCACAGGGGGTGCGCACAGGGTGGTCCCTGAGCGCGGCCGCTATCCATGACTGTCGTCCCGGGCACAGCAGGCGTGGCGTTTTCTCGACACTACAGGGGTGCGCACGGGGTGGTCCCTGAGCGCGGCCGCTATCCGTGACGGTCGTCCGTGGCACAGCAGGCGTGGCGTTTTCTCGACACCACAGGGGGTACGCACGGGGTGGTCCATGAGCGCGGCCGCTATCCGTGACGGTCGTCCTTGCGGTATCGGCGGGGCAACGGCCACCAACATCATTGTCACATGCTTCACTTCTGCTATCATCACCCCAGCCATGATATAAGCATGTGGGGTTCCTCGGTCGCGTAATTTTGGCGCGCAGTTCAGCACCACAAAGGGTGTCGTTCAGAGTATTCCTGCTGCTGCTCGCGGATGCCTGAGCGGCCGTTTCGCTGGAGACCTTTTGGCAATCCGGCAGCCCAGGGGAATCCGTCAGAGTAGTCTTGCTGCGGCTGGGTTGGCGGGACGGCGCCGGGACGCTCCAGGGAATGTGCTCGGGGAGCGTTTTTCGGCCCCTCCGCCCCCAGAGAGCCCCAGGAGGCATTTTTCCGTATTGGGATCTGTGCTCGGGGAGCGTTCTTCGGCCTCTCCGCCTCCAGAGGGCCCCAGGAGGCATTTTTCTGTATTGGAGTCTGTGTTCGGGGAGGCATTTTTCCCAACCCTCCTGCCTGGGTGGCTGCGCTACGTCCCTGAACGTACCTAAACACTTCCCCGGTCTGCGAGCCGCAGCCCCTGACCCAGACCCGGGGGGGGGGGGAACGAACTGGCCGTTCCTGGCCGCCTTCGCGTTGCCAGGCCGCGTCGCAGCGCAGAGAGGAAGAGGAACCGGAGCAGGAGGAGGACAACGGGGAGGCGAGACGACGGGGAGGGGCGCGTGTCCCTGGCCTGGCCCGCCCGCGCACTGCTGGAGGACGGCCTGGCTCGGTCGACGGGCCGAGCAGTGCGGCCAAATGCCACCTGGCGAGCACACCCAGGGATTGCCCTCGTCAGAGGCGGGGCAGGAGGAGGAGGAGGAGGAGGAGGAGGAGGAGGAGGAGGAGGAGGAGGAGGAGGAAGACGGGGAGGAGGAGGAGGAGGAGGAGGAGGAGGAGGAGGAGGAGGAGGAGTAGGAGTAGGAGGAGGAGGAGGAGGCGGATGATGATAATGATGATACTGATGATGCTGATGAAGAGGAGGAGGAGGAATACGACGAATAACAGTAACACGAATCATATCTGGATTACTACTACTACTTCTACTACTACTACTACTACTACTACTGCTGCTGCTGCTACTGCTGCTACTGCTGCTACTACTACTGCTACTGCTACTGCTACTACTACTACTACTACTACTACTACTGCTACTGCTACTGCTACTACTACAGTTGCTACTACTACTACTACTACTACTACTACTACTACTACTACTACTACTACTACTACTACTACTACTACTACTACTACTTTTACTACTACTACTACTACTAATCTTACTACTACTACTACTACTACTACTACTACTACTCCAAATCACATTTTCGATGCAAACATGATAGTGCTACGAATCCGAACCATAGTTTTAGTAATAACAGTAACATAGAGAAGTACACTAATCTCAGGACTACTAGTACTACTGCTGCTACTACTACTACTACTACTACTACATTCACTACTACGAATCATGCTACCAGTGGTACTAACAGTAATACTAGTATGAGTACTAAGGTTGATACTACTGCCAGCAATCAGCATACTACCAATACTAATACTAGTGATAATAATGTTAAGCGTGTCACCGATATGAGCAAAACTCTCAATCTTACTAATACGAGGGGCCCATAGTTTATTATGATTGTTCGTACTACTACTAAACAACTTATTACTAGTGTTTATTCGATACGAGGAAGAAAACTAATACTCATCGTATTCATATGGGATCAAGAGTAACAGTTGAAACAACACTAGCACGGATCATACGTGTAGGAGATAATACTACAGTTCGTTGGACTAAGAAGAAGCACAATAACAGTAATTTTAATAATAGTCGTATTGGTAGTACTATTGATAATATCAATAACAAGAAGAGGAGGAGAAGGAGGAGGAGCAGGAGGAGCAGGAGGAGCAGGAGGAGGAAGAGGAGGAGGAGGATGAGGAGGAGCAGGAGGAGGAGCACGAGGAGGAGGAGGAGGAGGAGGAAATCGCAGCGAACAGACGCGGACACGGAGGGAGGGGAGCGGCAAGTGCAGCGCGGAGCAAGCAAGCACGACTGGGCGGGCGGGGGGCGTGCGCGGGCTGTCGTCGGCGGTTCGTCGACGGTGGTTGCAGGGCGTTCGTCGGTAGCAGGGTGGCCGCTCACGCGGCGTCAGCCGCATGAGCCGCTGTTGCCGCGGCCAGCCTGTCTGCGGGGGCCCGTGCGGCCCCTGCAGCCTGCGGAGCACGGCCCGCGCATGATCCTTGTGAAGGAGAAGCGAGAGTCGCTGGGCGTGCTCCGCCGCCGCGAGGACTGGGTCCTCCCCTGGGGCGTCTGTCGCGCGCTTCGCCAGGACGGCTATCGCGCGGCGTGCCTCCTTGCCCTAAGCGCCGCCGTGTGCTTCCATCACCGCGGGGGCGAAGGTGACGCCGGCCGCACTGCAGAGGCGCTCCGTCGCGGCGGCGCCTGGCGCGGCGGCCGAGGCTGCCAGGAGGTTGTTCCGCACCCCGGAGGTGATCGCGAAGTCCAGGGCGGCCAGGACGCCGTTGCGCCAGCGTGGTGTACTCTTCAGACCACGAGTGAGCTACCAGTCAGAACGGTGAGCTCGCGTCTCGCTGCGCCGCGCGCCTCCTGATCAGACATCGGCTGGGTTTCCCGGCTGACTCTAGAATGTGTTGGTAGTTGGGCATTGTTTTTTTTCTTTTTCTTTTGTCCCTTTTCTCCGCCGGAGCTGTTGGATCGCCCGCACGATCGCGACTCGAATTGGATGCTCTGCCGCCGCGTGGCTTCAGCGCCGGCGCGTACCTGAATAGCGTACGGAGAAGATAAACACTGCAATCGATATCTTCTGACCGCCATGCTTTCTTTCGTACAGTTTCCAATCCCCGCAATTCTAGCTCCTCCTCCCCATCTTCCCATCTGCCCTCGTACCTCCCTTCGTTCCTCCCTTCGTTCCGTCTCTCGTTCCTTCCTTCCATCTCATTCCTCCCTCCGTGGCCTTCTTTTCCTCCTTTTCCTCCCCCTTCTCCTTCTCGCCCTCCTCCCCCCTCGCCTGCCCCTTTCCTCTGGCGGCGACGACGCATCGCGCAGAGGCGTGTGCTACTTCCGCGACGCCCCTTCGGACGAGCTCCTCGACATCGCGATGCAGAAGTCTGGCTGCTTCCTGCACGTGCGGAATCCCGGCCGGAAAAGACAGGCGGCCAGCCCCCTGGGGGCGGCGCTGGTCCTCTAAGAGGAGGACCAGGGGAAGGGGAGGAGGGCGAGGCGGGGGGAAGGATTATCAGGGAGGGAGGAGTGGTGAGGGCGAGAGGAGGGGGAGGGGGGGAGGATGAGAAATGGAGGAGAGGGAGGGAGAGGGGGGGGAGGGGGACGGATGAGGGGATGACTTGTAGGACAATGGAGGACGGGGGGTGGGGTGGGGGTAAGAGGCTCGAGCGGATCCTTGGGAGCTCCGTGGGGTCAAATGGACCGGGAGGAGGAAGATCAGAAGGGCAGGGGGAGGAGGAACGATGCGCGTCGTCGTCGTCGTCGTCCTCCTCCCAATTCTTGTCCTTCCCATCCTCCTCGGCCCATGCTTCGCCGAGCTTCAAGAATATCAGAGCACGCGCGCGCAGGATATACATAACGGACGCGCAGGTGGGGTGTTGGAAGAGGTGCACGTCCTGAGCCCGTTCCAGGAGAACCTTTTCTCCGAGTCAGCGAGGCTGACCTGTGACCACCCCCTGCGCACCCCCTAAGGTGTCGAGAAAATGCCACGCCTGCTGCGCCCACGGCGACCGTTGCGCATAGCGGCCGCGGTGAGAGACCACCCCCTGCGCACCGCCTATGGTGTCGAGAAAATGCCGCGCCTTCTGTGCCTGGATGTTGTGTGCGTGGCTGTATGTAGAAGCGGGGGAGGAGGCATCCGTGCGACGCGGCAGCTAAGAAAACCATAACCCCACGAAACATGTGGGGACATCTAATCAGGAATTGTCCGTGGGAGAACGACAACGACACGAACGATCAGACACCGTCATTCCTGGCGGTGTGCTGAACTTGTTGTTATTCCAAGGGGCTCTGGCTAGTTGCGGTTGCGCGGGATCTAGAGGCAGCCTGCGGGCAGAACGTGTTTGATTCATCTGCGTGCGACAGGCTTGGTTTCAACGGCTTGGTCGGTCTGGCAATTCTTCTGCCTAACTGCATTCGTGCGCTTGGGCATCGCAGCGCCGACGCAGAGCGCTTGCGGGCGTTGTCACGGTTGTCGACGCTCATCCGCAGGCTGCTCGGGCACAGCTTGCTGGGATTCTTCTTCGATTTGGAGAACCCGCAAGTCCATGAGCGCAGTTGCCGCGAGTCCATGCAACAGCATCACCGCGCGTAGCCGACGTCTTCGCGGTTTGCAGGCAGGCCCCAGCGATGCGTTTTCGAGCTGCGCAGCTTCTGTCTGACCGCCCTGCCCCGCTACCGCAGCGACTTCGCGCGCGTCGTCCAGGCCGCGGTGATCTCGTGTACGAGCTGAAGCGCGCGTTCCCGCGCGGCCGCGTCGGCGACGGATGGGGCTCCGAGTTCGTTCGTGGCTATGCCGCCAGCGCTCCCGATCCAGGGCCCGGGCTGACCGGTAGAAGACGGGCCGCTGGCCGATCGCACGGGTGCTCGTTTGCTTCTTAGCAAATGCGCCGCGTCGCTGCTTCCGCAGAGTTTTCTCTGGAGGCCTCGCCAGAGCCCCGCTGGTGGCGCCGGGGGTTCAGGGGTCTTCTGGAGGCCAGTGGGAACTTCCGGGGGCGTCTCTGGGAGCTTCCAGAGTATTTCAGGCGTCTCAAGGGGCGGTCAAAGTCAGTGGTAATTCTTTTGGTTTTGCGCAGACGGTTTTACCACTTACGTTTGTTCGTTTCCAGAGAATTTTGGGCCTCCCAGGGGGCGCCCAAAACATGTGGTAACTTATGTGTTTTGAGCGGGCCGGTTTTACCACTTACGGTCGTTCGTTTTGAGACCGCTTCTGGAAACCTCCAGACCCGAGACGCTTCGGGAGGCGCCAGACGTCCGCGGGAGCTTCCCCAGAGCCGCCCGAGATTCTTTGGGACTCACAAAGCAAGTGGTACGATCATTGTTTGGCGAGGCCGGTTTTACCACTTGTTCTTGCTCGCGTTGAGGGCGTTTCTGGATGCCGCCAGAAAGCCTCGGAAGCTTATTTGTAGCCTTCTGGTCTCCTAGGAATGAATCCGGAGCCCCCTGGGCCCTGGCCCTTCGCGAGTCGTTGCAGGTCTTGTGGCTGATTCCACGTGCCTCTGAAAGTCAGCTCTGGCGCGAGCAGGTATGTTTCAGTTTCGTTTTGGACAGCGGGCATGGCTGACAACAGTGATGTGAACGTGAGCGGATCAATTCGGGCCCTCTCTCTCTTCCTCCCCCTTCGCCAGTCCTCGTCGTCGTCGTCGTCGTCGTCGTCCTCCTCCTCCTCCTCCTCCTCCTCCTTCTCTTCCTCCCCCTCGTCCTTCTGCCCTCTATTCTTCCACCTCCCTCTTCCAATTCCCCTCCCCCCCCTCCCCGCATCCCCTCCCCCCCTCACTCTTCCTCGTCCTTCTTCACTTCCCCCCCTCCACTTTCCTCCTCCTCCACTTTCTCTTTCCTTTTTCCTCCCCTTACCCCTCCTCCTCCCCCTCCCCCTCCCCCCTCCCCCCATCTTCTCCTCGTCGTCGTCGTCGTCGTCGTCGTCCTCTCCTCCTCCTCCTCCTCCTCCTCCTCCTCCTCCTCTCTTCCTTCTCCTCCTCCTCCTCCTCCTCCTCCTCCTCCTCTCGCCCTCCTGTCCTGGACTTCCTGGGTTTCCTGGGGTCTGGGGGCGCTCGTTTGCTCGTGTTTTTTTTTTTGGTCGTGTGCCTGGTCTTCGGGCCTCCTGGGGCTGGACCGCCCCCGCGGGGATGGGGCGTGCTCCCTCCGATATCCCGCCTGGGTCTCGGATGGCGCAGGCTCCTGTCGGCGCCCTCTCTTGGGACTTTGCCGTGCTCGGCCTGCGCGTGGCGCCGCTTCGGGAGTTTTGGGCCGCGGGCCCCATCCGGCCAGGGGGAGGAGAGACCTCTCGCCCTCGCCCCCCCTCGTCCTCGCGCTCTTCCTTCCTTCCTCTCCCCCCCCTTCCTCCTCCTCCTCCTCCTCCTCCTCCTCCTCCTCCTCCTCCTCCTCCTCCTCCTCCTCCTCCTCCTCCTCCCTCTGCTTCTCGCACTCCCTTTCCTCCTCCTCCCTTTCCCTCTCCTCCTCCTTCAGACCTCTCTCCGCCCGGCAGGACCTGTTCAACTCGGACGTGGAGACCCGCCAGCTGACGTCCCCATCGCTGCAGGCGAACAGTCGAGGCGTGCCGGGCTTCCGTTGTGCTTCGGCCGCGATGCGCGGATGAGGAGAAGGAAGAGGAGGAGGAGGAGGAGGAGGAGGAGGAAGAGGAGGAAGAGGAGGAGGAGGAGGAGGAGGAAGAAGAGGAGGAGGAGGAGGAGGAGGCGGAGGAAAAGGATGAGACGGAGGAGGAGGAGTAGGAGGAGGAGGAGGAGGGGAAGAGAAAGAGGGGGAAGACACATAAGGGAGGAGGAAGAGAGAACATGTAATACGGAAGGGGATGAGGGGGAGGAGAAGGAGGGGGATGCGAAGGATGATGACGATGATGATGATGAGGAGGAGGAGGCGGAGGAGGAGGAGGAGGAGGAGGAAGGTGAGGGCTGCGTTCGACAACTTCTCAGGTCATCAGGAAAAAAGAGGAGGTGTACGAGCAGGAGGATTACCTTGATTAAGATGAAGATGGGAGGAGGAGAAGGAGGAGGTGGAGGAGGGGCTGGATGATGTTGATGATGCTGATGATCATGATGCTGATGATGAGGATGATGCTGAAGGTTATGCTGCTGATGATGACGATGCTATTGATGATGCTGATGATGTTGATGCCGATAATGATGATGCTGATGATGATGATGCCAGCGATGAGTATGACGATGATGATACTGCTGATGATGATGGTGCTGATGATGATGCTGCTGATGATGCTGATACTGACGACGATGATGGTGATGGTGATGATGATTGATCATGACCATGATGCTGCTGCTGCTGATGAGGTTGTTGATGTTGCTGATGATGCTGCTGATACTGATGATGATGCTGCTGCTCATGCTGCTGATGATTATATTGATGATAACTGTGCATATTATCATGATGACGTTGATGCCGCTGATGATGCTGATGTTGATTATGGTGACCCTGATGATAATAGTGAAAACGACGATTATGATGATAATGAGGATGACGACGATGACGATTCTGATGATGATGATGCTGATGATGGTGATGATGACGACGATGACGATAACGATGACGATGATCATGCTGCTGCTGATGACGTTGATTATGCTGGAGATGATGATGCTAATGATGCTGCGGATGATGATGATGCTGATGCTGATGATGACGATGCTGATGATGACGATCACGAAGCTGGTGATACTGCTGATGATGTTGATGATGCTGCTCATACGGATGATGATGGTGTTTATAATGATGAGTGTGCTGTTGATGATGATGACGACTGTGCTGACGACGACGATGATGATGATGATCACGATGATGATGATGATGATGATGATGATGATGATGATGATGATGATGATGATGATGATGATGATGATGATGCTGATGCTGATGATGATGATGATGATTATGATGATGATGATGATGAGGATGATGATGATGATGACGATGATGATGATGATGATGATGATGATGATTGTGATGCTGATGTTGGTGCTGCTGATGCTGCTGCTGATGATGATGATGCTGCCAATGATGATGCTGCTGATGATGATGATGACGAGGAGGAGGAAGAAGAGGAGAAGGAGGAGGAGGAGGGAGGGGGGGGAGAGAGGATGAACACGGATGATTGACGATGATGCTGATGCTGATGTTGCCGATGACGATAACAATGACGATGCCGATTATGATGACGACGACGATGATGATGCTGATGATTCTGATGATGATGATGATGATGATGATGATGATGATGATGATGTTGGTGATGATGATGATGACGATGATGACGATGATGATGATGATTATGATGATGCTGATCATGATACTGCTTATGATGATGATGGTTTTGATGATGCTGCTCCTGGTGATAGTGATGCTGCTGCTGATGATGATAATGATTATTACACTGAGGATGACGATGATGGGATGATGATGAGATGATGATATGATGACGACGATGACGACGATGATGATGATGATGATGATGATGATGATGATGATGATGATGATGATGATAATGATGCTGACGATGATTATGTTGTTGTTGCTGGTGGTTACTGGTGGTTGTTGTTGTTGATGTTGATGTTGACGTTGATGATGATGATGCTGATGATGCTGCTGCTGCTGCTGCTGATGATGATGATGATGATGATGATGTAATTGATGATTCTGATGAAGCATGAAGAGGAGGATGAGGAGGAGGAGAAGTAGGAGGAGAAGGAGGAGTAGGAGGAGGAGGAGGAGGGGGAGAGTGAGTGTGCGCCCGTGTCCCTCTCCGCGTGGCCTCCCGCGACGACGCCAAGAGGATAATGTTCACCAGGTCACCATGCGGATAGCCGAGGATCTCTCTGCAGCACAGTACTCGTGATTCAGTCTTGGACACTCTTAGGGTCGGCTGTGCATGCATGGCTGGGCTCTTCTTTGCGATGTGCCTTGGAAGAAGAGGGGGAAGAAGGAGAAGGAGAAGGAGAAGGAGGAGGTGGAGGAGGAGGAGGAGAAGGGAGGAGGGGAGGAGGGGGAGGAGGAGGAGGAGGAGGAGGTGGAGGAGGGGGAGGGGGATTTGGTCGGATTGGATTGGAGGTCCGCGCAAGGGCTTCACCAGGAAACCACAGCCGGGTTTGTGCAGCAGCGTTCTAGCTACCACGGGCCTTAAGCCCGCACACGGCGGGCAGAAAGCATCCGGGAGCACACGCTGTGGATGCTCACGCGGACGAGGGAGGGCCCCCCCGCGCAGAGGGGCGAGGGAAGGGAGCCGCCCGCCGCCCCCGGAAGGCAAGACATGGTGCCAGCTCCGCGCCCGCGTTCTGCAGGGCATGCCTCCTCGGCTCGAGGAGCCGCCCCCCCCGTCAGGGGGGGGGAGGCAGGAGGGAGGAGGAAGTGGAGTAGGGGGCCGGAGGCGTGGGGGGGGGGTGCGAAGGGAGGGGAACTCGGGCTCGTTCGGGGAGGAGGAGGGGGACGGGGAGGGGGGAGAGCGGCGAGGGATCAGACGCGACGGCTCTCACTAGCCTGCGTTCGTGCAAAGCAAGATTTGGGGCGGAGGAGGCGGAACCGGCCGCCCATCCAGGAGGAGGAGGAGAAGGAGGAGGAGGGAGCAGGTGGAGGAGGTCGAGGAGGAGGAGGAGGAGGAGGAGGAGGAGGAGGGATGATGATGATGATGATGATGATGATGATGATGATGATGATGATGATGATGGGGGTGGTGGTGGTGGTGGTGGTGATGATGAAGATGATGATAATGATGGTGGTGGTGGTGATGATGAAGGTGTTGGTGATGATGACGATGATGATGTCGATGATGCTGATGATGAAGGTGATGATGATGCTGATCATGATGAGGATGATGATGATGATGATGATGAGGAGGATGATGACGACTACGACGACGGTGACGATGAGGAGGGAGGAGGAGGGAGGAGGATGGGGATGATGGTGGTGATGATAATGATGACGATGGTGATGGTGATGATGATGATGATGATCATCATCATGACGACGATGATACGATGATGATGCTGATGATGATGAGGATGATCATGATGATGTTGATGATGATGCTGATGATGAGGAGGAGGAGCAGCAGGTCGAGGAGGTGGAGGAGCAGTGTGAGGATGAGGAAGGAGCAAGAGGAGGATGCTGATAATGATGCTGCTGATGTTGCTGATGATGATTGTGATGGTGATGGTGATGGTGATGGTGATGGTGATGGTGATGATGATTATGATTATTATGATGATGCGGGGCACTGTCGTGCCTACTCAATTTAGTTGTGTAGTTTCAAGATATTGGTGAGTGCTTGCACCCATTCAGCATATCGTTTAAAATCTTTCTCACCCAGCCAATTTGCTGGTATGCCCTCTCCTGCTGTGTGTTCGTCTTCCCCTCCTACCCTTCTTCCCCTGTAAGGTGCCATGGAGAAGCGCGAGATTGCCATACTTATTTCGAGGTTTTGGGGAACCGGACGCGGAAATCTGCAGTCCAACTCACCGAGCGAGAGTGCCTCAATTGTGCAAGTTCTGGTTTTAACTGCCGCGTCTTAGTCCAGGATGAGCTTTCCTAAACAGCTGCTATCCCTCTGCCTTGCCCCTTGGTCTTCCCCGCTTTTCTATCCTCTCTGCTCCGCATGCAGGTCCTCTTGCTGTTTTGGGTCTCTTGGAGGTCATACGTACGGGTGGGCCTGGCCACCACTTCGAACTGCTCCGGGCTTGGTCCCGACCGCCTTCTTTATGCTTGCATGGTGGAGCCTCCATTCCCATCTGTTGGGAAGTTGACAGTGTTCATCATTGGGTTTTGCGCTGTAAAAGAATTATGATGGTGAGGCTGACGATGATGATGATGATGATGATGATGATGATGATGATGATGATGATGATGATGATGATGATCATGATGATGATGATGCTGAGGACGATGCTGTTGTTGATGATGATGACTCTGCTTATGATGATGCTGATGACGATGCAGCTGATGCTGTTGCTGATGATGATGGTGAGGATGCTTCTGCTGATGCTGCTGCTGACGACGGCGATTATGATGATGATAATTATGGTGATTATGATGATGAGGATGCTGCTGCTTCTAATGATACTGATGGTGGTGATGGTGGTGATGATGATGACGATGATGATGATGATGATGATGATGAAGAAGGGAATGACGACGATGATGCCGATGCTGATGCTGATGCTGCTGATGAGGATGATCATGATGATAATGATAATGTTGACGATGCTGATGATGCTGATGATGCTGATGATGATGACGATAATGCTGCTGCTGATGAGGATGATCATGAAGCTAATGGTGCTGCTCACGATGCTGCTGATGATAATGACGATGATGCTTATGATGATGGTCATGAAGATGCTTATGATGATACTGATGATGCTGATTGATGATGATGATTATGATGCTGCTGATGATGATGGTGATGATGGTGCTGATGCTGATGGTGAAAATGATGACGACGATGATGATGCTGCAGTTGATGCTGATGATGATGATGCTGATGCTGATGCTGATGCTGATGCTGCTGAATATGAGGATGTTTATACTACTAACAATAATGATGAATCTTGTAATTGTGATGTTGCTGCTGGTGATGATGATGATGGTGATGGTGATGGTGATGGTGCTGGTTCTGATGATGATGATGATGATGATGATGATGATGATGATGATGGTGATGGTGATGCTGGCGGCGACGACGCAGGAGGGTTTTTTTCTCTCCATGGATGTCTTGAGTCTTCTGCTGGCCGCTTGGGGCCTCCAGCGGCATTCCGAGGCCTCCAGGGGCATCTGCCCCATTGCAGTTTCCGCACCTCCGCCACAAAGCTGCAGAGTTCATGAGCTTTCCCTCGATGTCGGGCCGGGGGCCACTGCCAGGCCCCAGAATCGTGAGAGCACGGTCCACGATGAAAGCCGCCTTGGACGGATCGAAAAAACACGACGTCGGAGGTCTTGGTGGGTCTCTCTCTCTCTCTCTTTCTGCCTGTCTCTGCCTCTCTCTGTCTCTCTGGCTCTCCGTCTTCTCTCCGTCCCTTTCCACTACCTGCTTCTCGCTCTGTCGCTCTGTCGGAGATCTTGCCGTCGTGGCACCAGACCTGTGCCGTGCAGACGGCGGACGGCAAGAGAATCCTTCCACGTGAGGCAACCATATCCGTACAGTCGGGGCGCTGAAGAAGGGACCCTTTTCGTTCGGGAGGGGCTCAGTCTTCCTTACGTGTTTTGCAGTTCGCCTTGGATTTCCCCTGGGTTTCCGATGGGAAATCGAAGCTCGACTTATGGAGCACATTCCTCACTTAGGGTTCCTCAGGTCAACGCCCCGACTGTACATGCCCGCCGCCGCTGGCCACGTACTCTGGGCCGAGGAGCGGTGCATACGGGAGATCAGCGTCGTGCCGGCGCGGCGGCGACCGCATCGCGGGCGTGCCGAGGTTGTCTGCCGCCAGCCCACCATCGGCCGACACCGGGCGCTCTTCGGCATCGGAGCGCCGCGATCGTTTCTCGGGAGCGGGAAAGAGGGGGGTGATGACCAGGGGGGGGTGGATATCATGGCGGGGGCCATGATATTTCCCCAGATCTCATGGCGCCTCTTCTCATTTCACTACGTCCCTGGCCCCCCCGCTGGGCCGCGCACATGCCGCCGGTCATGATTTGTACCCCCCCCCCTCTTGGACACCCCTCTCTTGGCCGCTCCCGAGTTTCAAAGGGTGAGCGATCCACGCGGAGTCGAGAGGACGATGCAGTCACGCCGTATGGTAAGGGTGAGCGACCTTCCAGAGTGGCCCTGGCCGCGCCCCGCTAGCAAAGTGTCGACGTGGCCTTCCAAGGCCCTTGCATCCTTGTCATGCGTCCTCATTGTACGGGTCAACGATGTGTTTTTTTCGAAGCACGGCCTCAGCGGTCCCGATCCCCTCTCCGGGGCCAGGTTTTCGGCATGGCCGACGGCGGGCCCCAGAGACCGGAAGCCGCCGACGACGACGACGACGACGACGACGACGACCACAACGACGACCACGACGACGACCACGACGATGACCGCCAGATCAAACCAAAATCCTTCCCTGGACCCAGATTGAAACAAGAAAGGCTTCAGCAAATCACCTAGTGGCAGCAGAGGTGAAGAAACCAATGAGCAAAGGTGAGAGCACAGCCATGAACAGAGCCGTACTGTTTTCTACGCGGGAATGTAGCCGTCCAGACCTACAATGCCGGCACTGAAGCGAAACCGCGATCCTTGAACACATTGCGACGAAGTTTGAGGCGAAACGGCCACTCGACAGGGCAGTCTCGGGCTTCCCCGTCCACCTTGTGTTTTTCCCAACCATGCTGTGGTGCTGGGTCTTCGTTTTGAAGAGACGGTCCCCGCGTTCCCTCCCTCCTTTTTTCCCTCACTGAGATGTTTGTAGCTAGCGAACCCGCATCCTTGAGCATTCGTATGGTTTACAGTCCGAACATGCTTGCTTCTACAAACTTGCTGTGCTATACATCTCTGAACAGATACCACACTTGATCTTAGTCAAGGGAGTCTCACACACATGAAATCTCACTCTCATTCTACTCTCTAGGAAACTCTGTGCCGGAAAACGCAGAGAGGCCCGGCGGTGCCTAGAGCACGCTACATTGATGTCGGAGGCGGTCAGCAGTACACACCACAGTGAAGAAGTACATCGGTACGTACCGCAGTGAAGCTGAACACCTGATACACATCGGAGTTAAGACGATGTCCAGCTTATCACGCATAAAGAAAAACCCGTTGTGCTGTCTAACAACGTCAATTCTCAAGAGCGAGACATATGTAATGTCAGGGGCTCCCCATGACTTGCTGAAATATTGAGAACTGCAAGACAAGTATAGTATAGTACCCAAGCTGCTGTAGAAAGTCCTGGGGGCCGTCAAAGTCTCACGACCCTGTCGTGCTAGTCAAACCTCTGGATGCTCTCCAAGTCCGACTCTGAGAATGAACTCGGTCGATGTAGTAATTTCTGTCAGGTAATGTATTTCTTGCTGCCATGAAACTTCGCAATGCCAGTCGTCAACAGGTACATCAGCTGAGGAAGTATACCAGGTTTCGTCAGCGCATCACTGAGCATCACGTCTGTCGGAATGTGTATAGTGAATCTCAGTCGACCGGTCATCCGTTCTTCGCTCAGAGCCATGATTGCCAGTCTCTGTTGCCGATCCTGAGGTACTCCTTTCAGACCGGTCACCAGCTCGAGCATATCCTTGCAGTCGGTCAGGTGGTCAATGGGCAATACGTACTGACTTGAGTTGCTCATCTCGATGAGGGCAGATATCATCTGCTAAGTCGTACACTTCAGGGCGACATGCA